TAGTAGTAGTAGTAGTAGTAGTAGTAGTAGTAGTAGTAGTAGTAGTAGTAGTAGTAGTAGTAGTAGTAGTAGTAGTAGTAGTAGTAGTAGTAGTAGTAGTAGTAGTAGTAGTAGTAGTAGTAGTAGTAGTAGTAGTAGTAGTAGTAGTAGTAGTAGTAGTAGTAGTAGTAGTAGTAGTAGTAGTAGTAGTAGTAGTAGTAGTAGTAGTAGTAGTAGTAGTAGTAGTAGTAGTAGTAGTAGTAGTAGTAGTAGTAGTAGTAGTAGTAGTAGTAGTAGTAGTAGTAGTAGTAGTAGTAGTAGTAGTAGTAGTAGTAGTAGTAGTAGTAGTAGTAGTAGTAGTAGTAGTAGTAGTAGTAGTAGTAGTAGTAGTAGTAGTAGTAGTAGTAGTAGTAGTAGTAGTAGTAGTAGTAGTAGTAGTAGTAGTAGTAGTAGCCAGGCCTAACCATGGCAATCACTTAAGGAAGACTTGTTGTACATTATATCAGCATCGTGGCACATTAACTGAAGGTGAATAACACACTGCAGCTTTTGTGCCGCAATATAAAAAACAACGGTGTATTTTTTCCTTTTTAATCCTTAAGCATTAAGTATCCAAATCTCAGCACACCCCGAAACGGCTGACATACAGTGCTAATCTGTAGCTTGTCTGTACCGTGCAGTTTGGCACGTGGAACCAGCTTCACTTGTACAGCGAACACAGTTTCAGTGACCTCGTCAGAATGCTAACGGGCATCACTGTCTCACACTGCTGTAAATAACGTATGGCACATAGTTCATAAAGCTCTTATGCTATTTACCAAATTCTCGGGCCCACCTTTTTTAAACAGCCAATGCCAAAAGGCACATACGTTCATTGTATCGAAGCTTTGATGTCGATGAGCAGGTTTACGGTGAGTCGCCAATACAATGTTGGTGTCCTAACACTTGATCTAGCGCGAAGAAATGGTAAATGAGGTCTTTATTTCGACAAAACCCGACTTGTTTTTCACAGATCTGACTTTCACGGAGGTCATTCTTTCTGTGAAGCCCGACAAGGGGCAAGTAATTTGGGGCAACATATATCAGATTGCCTCTCTTGTAATTGCCACATTCTTGGCTTGAGTTCTTTAAAATCGGTACAGTGACGGAGCTGCTCCAGTCGGTGGTAACTGTTTCCTGCCCCCATGACTTAATCAATAAGCCTTGCAAATCTTCCACGAGAGCTGATCCCTTGAATTCGAATAGGACTGGGGGAACTTCGCTTGTTCTCCCGGCCTCATTCAACTTCGGCTGTCTGATCTCACGTTCGACCTCCGCGTCATGGAGTGGATTCGAAGGGAGCCCAAGGAGCAAATCGGTCACATGCAGAAAAGGGCATGTCTCGTAGACCCGAGAATATATTATTATCATTATTCTTACTGTTATTATTACTATAAACTGACGATGCTGGCTGACTAACGCTTTGCAAAATGCTCAGTCCAGTGCTCCAAACGTTTTGTCAGGTTGTGGATAGACTGTTCCCTCTCGTCGCACCTAGTTCACTCACACTGGGTCTCTTGCTACTTGTTTCCCGGAGTTTCGTTTCCAACTGAAATGTTTCGGCGAACATCGAAGTGTGTAAGAGACTACGTAGTGACCCGTTGTCCACAAGAAGACACCTGCCGCTGATGTCTGGTGGTTATGCGATCAGTGACCTTCAACTGTGTTCCGTGAGGATTTACTCAGCCCGCACGCCAACACAGCCTGATATACATTCAGAACACCTGGCTACACCAGTTGGCTGGGGTCTATGCGCTCACAGCGTTGTCGCAGATGTCCGCTAAAGCGAACTCGGAGATCGGCACATGCGAGTGCCGCGCTCCAGCTCCAAATCGAGCGGCATTTTTGAACACGGTCTCCCTAATGGTAGCTAATCTCAATGTGATTGATTTGCGTCTGTACCTATTCCGACACTGGTGGGCGACATGTCACCCTTCTACGGGTTCTATATCGAAAGTGCTCGCGAGAAATAGACCAGCATCATCACACAGGTGTAACAACCGCTCATCATTATCATCACGGGAGCTTACATTATGTTGGCAGCCCAGATTCAACCCATCAATGAACAATTTCTCAGCATTTGAATTCGGATCACAGCCAGCACTGCATTATCCGTGCTACTTCTGTGGCGAAGGAGCTCGTTTATTTGAAAGTGGAAGTTATCTATCCTGGAGTCAGCGCTGCCACTTGTCGTGGCGTTACCAGATATGACAATCGAACCTCTGTTGTCCTCGAGCGACTTCGAAGCTTTGAACGAGCCAGATAATCGGATGGCGCACATTCGGGTACTAACTGGGTTCCAGTCTACCAGATTAGTCTCAGCTCGGGGGCTCAGATCAATACTCACACCGACTTGATCGGCATTCAAAGTTGCATCATCTTTGGGTATACGCAATGAGAATGTTGCGCCAGTGTCACCTCTGTCGCCATGTGTAGCCTTCCGATGGCGCGAAAAGTCAAGCTGTGCTTCGATCAATTGTGTATTTGCGTCGTAAATAGGCATACTATTTAGAGTTTCACAACTGACGAATCTGGCAAAGCATCTTGTCTTACGGCCTTGCATGTTTCAGGTTTCCATGCGGCCCTCAGTAGTAGTTCCTGGATTTCTGGTTGGTGAAAGGATGTGTTTGCTAGCCAAACGGAATAGGAATCAATTACCAGTGCCATATTTAAACGGCTGCTATTCGCGTTGGTCTTGCCTACGCTGCAAAACTGATTTTAAAGTGATCACAATTTTGAGGTTTTTTATGACGGTTTCCTGATAAGCAACAAATATCGATCGAACGGGTCTCTCGGGTAAGTGTTACTTGTTGGCCGATCTGTAACAAATGCGTACCTTAAGTCATGCCAGCATTAGTGAGGATCGTGGGGCTCCAACTGGAGACGTATGAACTGCATTGTCCACTTCCTTGGACATGAACTTGTTGACAGGTCAAGGGTGACGCTCCGCGATTGCGTTTGAGTCGAAACTATATGACACAGCTTACCAAAGCAGAGGAAAGACCACATATTGGGGGAGTTGAACACAGGGGGATAAAAGTGAAGTTGGAAGGGGACAATGAGGATAAAAATACACAAGAGGGGAAAAGAAGACGAGAGTGCTTGGGCGGTGGCATGCTCACGCTTACCCATCCCACTGGTTGCAGAAGATAAGGCGCTGTTGATTACCCTCTGCGATGATTATCGCATCAAAAGGTTATTTGCGGAAAGTCCCATGTATTGCATAGGCATTATTGTTGTCAGGTTGCTCTAGTTTAGATAACAGAAATATTAGGGCTCTTAACCAGTTTTCGTTACATAAACCTGGCTGCTAAGCGGTGGGGGATTGGTAGTGGACTACATGGAATCCGTTTTAAGCAATAAGGGTCTACTGTCACTTTAACCTCCAAGCTAGAGGACCAAGCGACTTAATTTGTTTGGACTCCAATCATTGACCAATCTTGCGAGCGACTCTAAAGATTCAAGTAGCACCACCTAGCAGACCATCGTCCCAAGATCAAGTCCAGCCTCGTTGCGCAACGCTTCCGACCTTAATGTTCTTGTAAACCATCTTTTCACCAGGTAGTTTGCATTTAGCACGTCTTTGATTGCATCCATGTTAATCGTTTTCAGTAAGCATTGATGTGATTGCATTCACTGTTTCCTATCTGTTGTATATTGCTTGTCTGTCTCACTTACATTGGTGCTTGTAGGTTTATGACTGCCTACTCGTAATTTTTGTTGGCAATATTGTTTGTTTTACTAATCTAACGTAGTCTCATGAGCGCTGGGGCATGCACGATTCAATTAACTTAATGTGTTTAGAGGCTTTTCTTTTTAAATGCTTCGCTTCATCTGCCCTTTTTGCAACTGTATTACTATGCATACTTTATTTCGTGCGGTAAACTATCAGACTAACCTATGTTCTTGGTTCGTTGGAAACACTTCGAAATTGCGCGTCGCAATTTATCCACACAACGTGTACTTCAAATTAGCTTTCCAATATTTATTGTTTTCGTTTACTTGCATTTCACATAACCTTTGTTTGTTCCTCTACGTTGCTGATATGGTATTTTCGCATTGTTCTTCACTGGCTGTCGTACATAAAACTACTCCACCGTTGCTGATAGTAGTTGACACGTGAGACATCGGGAAGTTGCAGTCTTATTTATTGGCTACCTCCTTTGCGTCTTTCAACCAATGTTTTGTGGGTCTACCTGCACTGTTTTGCGAAGATGCCTCAACCCAATCACTTTACTTCCAACACAAAAATTGCCAAGCTAATGTTGGAGTAGATACTTGACTTGCTTGGATGATTCGACTTTTGTGTGTTTTTCCTGTTGCCACTGAACAAAGCCACATTGTTTTAGTTGTGGTGAATAACCTGGTTGCCTCCGTAATTCCGTCGCATCGGATAGCACAACACTTATAGGCATCGGCAGGTCAGGTCGTCTGTAACACTAGATTCGAAGTGCCGTGCACTTATCTGCCACGATTCACTTTGTGATAACCTAACCATAGTGCGTCATCCAAATTTAGCTGGCGTTCCAGTGATGTAAGTATTGTTTGTTGTTTCCGATTCTATCGCGGGTTTGAGAGGTTATGGGGAGAATCATCCGCTGCCGCATGGTGGTGGCTAAAACCGATGGAACTGTGTGGGTACCGGACCACATGACAGTCGATCGATACTCATCACCAGTATTCTGACCAGTAAAACAAATAGTGGATCACATCTCGTGGGTTGGATTCCTGAATGTCCGTCAACGAGCCACTATCAAATTACAACTTGAAGGGAATCACACTATGTGACATGGCACTTGCCAACTCGCCGAAACATTTTGAGGAATACGAACACCAACCCATGTGGGGGCTGAGTTATAAGGTAGGGCCTTTGTGCTTGTTGGCGTACTAACAGTACATTGTTCCTTCAGATTCTGGATCATCGTGCAACAACGGTCTCACGTTCTAAGCTGATCTCACCTCCTCTCTTTACCCCGTTCCAGTGACGATCGGACGGTGTCGAGTTTTCGAGATCAGTTGGCCGCTATTGTCTCAAGCACATCAAGCTTGAATATCGCTTCGGGAGATCCTCCAGGCCAAATGTCTTCCTTCAAACCATGTTGTCTTGTTTTGGATGAAATCGATGGTGCGGTGCCGGGCGCGGTTGAACTCTTGGCCGCAGCCGCCTCTACCACAATTCGTCCCAGCACAGAACGTCGCGCACGAAGTAAACGCACTTCTCCACTTGTCCTCCGTCGACCTGTGATATGTATATGTAACGATCTGTGAGTCGAATATCTGCCTCTGGTGAGGTATACAGCTGGATGGTCGCCTTTGTTCTTATGTTTTGCGTTGACGTTTTTGCTCCCCCTTTTGTGTTCTCACTTGCCATTTGCCCATATATGACCTCATGGTTGGATTAGATGGTTGTTCACGAGACCTTTGCTCCCTGCTAACCCTGAGGCTTGATCATCCCACTTCGTCACATTTATATTTTGTCCAATTCTTTTGTTCACATCATGCCACTTGCTTTTGTTATCGGCAGAATGCTTGCTATTATTTTTGATTCATACCGAGCCCCAGTCTTATCCGAAACTGACCGGAAAACTAACATCGCCGCCGGACCAATCAGAATCACTAATTTGGATCACTCATCAGTTGCTTCCCTCTTATTCTTTTCATGCTGTGTGTAAATGAAAACTTAGTTATTCGATGAATTGAGGTGTGAACCTTAATACTGTAGAGTGAAACAAGCAGAATAGTCAAGGCTAATGATGCAGATCTCCCGAAGCACTGAAGTTGTGCTTCCCTCCATTTCATTTGGTGATTGTTCACGTAAGAGCATGGCTTCACCACCCCAACTATTGCGGAATTTTATTCCGTGACAATATTTTAAAGCGGCTTCGATGATATCTATTCTCATTTTCTCAAACTTCGCCTATTTGATGATACTTGAAATAGTAGGGATCCGAGTTGGTTATCCGTCCTGCGCTTTGATTATATCTTTAGCCCTTGCTACCCCGCAAAATACTCGGCGCTGATACTGGGCACTACGGATGCAGCGCACGAAAATACCAGTTGTCCTGTACTATTGTCACCGGAGACTTCAATAAAATTGATACCTCATTCATCTAGACACTTGCTTTCTCTAACCTAGTGGCCTTTCCGACGAGATTTGAAACGCAACTAGATTTCATCTTCACAAATCAAGCCTTTCCGTTTTCCGCTCAAGAACGTGCCCCACTCGGTAATTTCGATCTTGGTATCATAAAAGTGTGCCCCGTCGTTTATGGTTAAACTCACTCCGGTCCATTGGCTAATAAGCCATTCAAAACTGAGAGCCGACGAGATTGTCCAGCATTCAATATTGTGAGACTGCAGGAAATGATGACTTCTACTGATTTTACAGTTTTCAGCAACGAAGATCTGTCTATTTAGTGTGATCATTTCACTGATTATTTTAACTTTTGCTTCGATCTTTGCTGCTCAGTCGATAGATTCTCCTCACCATCACTTAAGCAACTTAGAAGGAGAAAAACAAGTCCACAACTGTAAAATGACTCCGTGCCAATCAACTCTCTCTAGTAATAAAAACCGAGAATTTACGACAGAATAAGTTATACATCGAATCCATTTTATGCATCCACAACTGTCGAGACCTATGGCAACTAAAGCAGCTATGTGGTAAGAGCTCCAATAAGCAGATTGGACCAGTGGATATAGAGAAACTCAATTCTAAGTTCTATTCTTATCACAGGAAGCATCCTCCACTCATTCATTCGCTCTACCTTTGTTCTCTGGCTCTGGTCCAATAATTACATTCCCCTCGTTGAAGTCAACCGTCATCTCAGCAATCTGGACCCAAGGAAGGCTATTGGACCCGATGCCCTTTCACCAGTTGTCTTGAAAGAGTGTGCCAATGCCCTTGACACATCTTTTTAATCGGTGCCTACACACTGGTATTATTCACTATATTTGGAGGACTATCTGGATAACACCCGTGCCAAAGAAGGGATCCACGAAATTTCGCCTGATCGCCTGTACATCCATCATGCTGAGTCTCCGAGCGACTACTTGTGCCTTTGATTTCAACAAGCACTCCGGCCGTTGACGTATCAGTTTGCGTACAAACCCCGACATTCCACGCTAGATGCCGTAGCGTGCCTTGTTCACTCTATAGCATCTTCCTTGCTGGCCGTACCCACGGACGCCGCGGATTTTTGAATCACACTATGCTGGGTGCTACTTTTGCTTCGGATTACTGTCTCATAAATGTTCTTTCAGTGTGAATTGTGCACCAATATTCTTCTATTGGTGTATTTTCCAAGCGGCGCAAATTTGGTGGATATACTTTGGCTAATTCCGGAGATCTCATCGATTGGCCGCCATTTTTGATTTGCTATATCTTGTGATGCCGTCTCAAGCTACTTGTGGTTCGTGTTCGAAAATTGTTGGACATAAGGCTCATGCACTTCAGTGCTTCGTTTGTGATGTTTTGTTCCGTATTTCGTGCATTTGTTTATCCGTTGACGTGTTTCGAAAATCTCGACATCCGACCGCTTTTTCCAAGTTATATGTGCTAAATGTCGCGGTGCAAGACATCAGAATTCATAGCGACCGCCAACAACTACGGGAAAATCTCTTCCAGACAGAAACAAACCGTTCAGCACGTGGGGCCAAACGCTCTCTTGAAACTACCTCTGTCTCCTCGCCTTACTTTGTCACTCCGCGATCTGCACCGCCACCAGCATCCTCGACCCCGGCCGAGCCTCAGGTTCAATGTTCACCACCGATTGAACACTCAGACTCAGAAGCTACGAAATGCGGCTTCACTGATCGGTCCGTGAATTTCTCAGAGCCAGTCTGTGAACTTCTGAATACCGAGGATCCATGGGCCACTCGAAATCGCAAAGGGCCACGTAATCGAAATCAGGCGTCCCCTGCTGATAAACAGCAATCCAAACCGATAAGTGCCTGTAGTCCTGCTTCTGCAGGTTCATCACCGATCTCGCTGAGGCGTCATATTCTCATTGTCTTCCACCTACCAGAGTCAAAAGATGAAAACCCTCAGATACGCTATGCTCACGATGTTGAGTTCCTCCATGGTCTCATCGATAGAATCTTGGATGTGGGTGACGACATTGTGACGATTAAACAAGTAATCCGACTTGGCCAGAAAACTTACCAGTCACGTAGACCTCGGCAAATCACTTTTTCAAATCACAATATGCCGCAGCTAATATTGTCACGTCTGTCAACGCCGAAAGGCATAGAGATCCACATCCGCCAAGACTTGGAACCCGAAGACTGGGATCGTTTGAAGACTGCGGTCATTGAGCTCAAACGCCGTACAGAAGAAGGTGAGACTGACTTACAAATTGTAAATTTTCGCGTGATCAAGTAGCATGTACGAACCCGTATCACCCGGTTACTCAACCTCCAGGCACGTCCCGCAGTACCTCCCAGGACCTCCGTGTGGCATTCGCCAATGTGTGCAGTCTAATAAACAAACATGAAGTACTGTGCCGCTTCGCTGTCTCGGAGCGGCTGGACGTTTTACGACTTGCAGGGACTTGGCGCAACTCCGACGTCATACCCCAAGAAGTCGTCTTGTCAGGACACTCTTGTTTCCCATGCGACCGAAAATCATAGACTCACGGTGGTGTTCTGTTGTACATAAAATCGTCACTATCTGGCAAACTTACCAACACCTATCTGAGCGAGGATAACTTATGCGAGCAATTGTGGTGCACAATCCGCCTCAGACACGCAGAACTACTAGTGCGTGTTATCTACTGTAGCCCATTAAATCCTTGTTGCGATTGGCTACCACATATACAGAAGCACATGAGCCCCCTCAGTTCTTACTGATGGGGGATCTAAATTTACCTAAGATATTTTGGCCAGACGTTCGACTTCTTCTCCTTCATGGCAACGTTGAGGCTCAATTAGCTAAAATGATTATTAAAATCGGGGCAACGTTACATGTCATCCAACCGACGCGCGTAACTCCGCACTTGGCATCTTGTCTGCACTTAATGTTTACGAGCTGTGAGCAGAAGCTGACAGAGATCAGAGTCCTCGAACCTCTGGCGAACAGTGACCACTGCTCCATTGTTGCAAGCTTAGAACTGTCGTTACTATGTTACAATCAACGGAAGCCGACATTCAACTATTGGGAGACGGACTTCAACTGGCTCGTCCAAGCCGCAAATCAGACTGATTGCACACTACCACAAGATGCGTCGCTTGAGGCCTGTTGGTCATTAATGAAGGGGAAGCTTAACTCGCTGTGTACTCGGTTCCTTACCCTAATGTATTCAAAAATCGGACCTGTCAAAGCGCCTTGGTTTGATAGGGAATATAGACAGTTGACGCGACGGCGTCGCAAACTTTGGGATGGGTACATCAGCTCGGGTTGTGATGAAGATTACACGGTGTACAAGAAACAGCGTAACTTATGTAACGCCGCAAAGATCAAGAAACGCCTGCAGTTCGAAGAGGAGCTAGCATCCTCTGCCACATCTGCACCCAAAAGAATATTTGCATACTTGAAACATTAACTGAAACCTGGGGGCGACGTCCCGGTCTTAGAGACCTTAGACGGACAGAAGCTCATTTCAAGCGCGGAGCGCGTGGACGCTTTGGCTAGGCACTTCCTCACTGTATTTTCCAGTAAACCGGCGGCGGTTTCAGTACCAGCACAGGTTGCGCAAGTCTTGCTCAACAGCCTACAATGTGATGCAGTCGAAGTACATCAGCTACTGGTCAACCTCGATGGTGCAAAGCCCCTCGGACCAGACGGACTTCACCCACTAATACTCAAGTCCCTATCGATTATCATCTCATCAGCTGTGACAAACCTTTTCAATAAATCGCTCTCTGAAGGATCCGTCCCGAACGATTGGAAATGCTCGATAGTGAAACCGCTTCCCAAGGATGGTGATCCGAGTAAAATAGAGAACTATAGACCGATCTGTTTGACTTCGGTATTATCCAAAGTTCTCGAGAAGGTTGTGAAAAAGTGTCTGCTGTCGTTCTTCGAATCGATGGACGTATTGACGCCAGCGCAACACAGCTTTACGAAAGGGCGATCCTGCATCACCAACCTGCTGTATGCAAACCTCCAGTAAGTACGAGCTCTCATTGAACGGAAGGATGTTGACGTGGTGTACATCGACTTTAGTAAGGCGTTTGACAGAGTGAACCACGAGGTACTCCTTCGTAAATTGAGGACCTACGGAATCGGTGGCACGCTACTTCAGTGGCTACACGAGTTTATTGT